TGTGTTGGGAAGGTGAGCATCATAGAATGCCAATTTACTAGAAGAAAGTATTCTTGTGTTGAGGGAGTACTTGAGTGGAGGCCCAATGTCCTTTGTTTTTCTTTCTTTATGAAATTTAAATCATTTTAATTGGGGGCTCGTACAACTCTTATCACAATCCATCCAACCATCCATTGTGTCAAGCACATTTGTACATTTGTTGCCATCATCATCCTCAAAACATTTTCTCTGCTCACCAGTTAACCTCAATAGGGGACCATCCCAAGTCCTGCGCCCCCCAGTGGCACAGGCAGCAGCCTAATGGTTGCTGTACTGCTATGTAACATGGTCACCGACCTCTCAGTCTAGGATGGGGACTCCTGCTCCGTGTCCAACCTCCTCCCCTGGTCTTCACAGCTCGGGCTATGGGCCAGGCACCTGCAACACCTCACTGTGGGGCACCAGGCTTTGACTTGCTAACGTCAGGCATTCAAGCCTACTTCCTGATGTAGCTCATGCATAGCTTGTCAGAAGTTGAGCTTTATCCCGTTGAACTTACTGCCGGTCGTCACGACTGTCTACTCAGAGTCTGACAGGAGCAGCAAAGGAGCAAACTACCTCGCCGTTCAGTCCGTGTATACGACAGTGGGTCAGATATGATCTGGGATTCTCTGTCTTTGCCAGACTCTGTCTTTAGTTTTTGGCTGGTGGACTTTCTTTGGCGTGCAGCCTCTCCAGATGGCAGGGTAGCTGGTGTGAATACCTCCAAGCCCTTTCCTTGGCCCAGGAGAATGGGAAAGGGGCTCACACGAGAGACACAATCAGCATGTTCACATTAGTGCGTCACAGTGGCAGGCAATGACGTATTCCCAAGTCTGGTAGCTCCCAGATGTACGTGTTCTATCTTACAGTGAAGAAAAAGGTCCAGGGAGGAGTGAGGAGCAAACCCAGGTATCTAGCCCAGGCGTGTTGAGTCCCGCACAAGGATCGGCCCACAGCCTCCGGTAATGACACTCTGGAGAGCAGGCCTAGTACCTGGGTGCACAAAATGACATTGACCTGCACCCTTTGTGTCTAAGAGTCTAAAGGCTTGCGTGTGGAATAGGGGTTTGGCCCGGTACCACTCCCAAGCTGAAATGTTGTACGTGGTGGGAAGA